AAAATAATATCATCTCTACAAGCAAGGGGCCGAGCAAGGGCCAAAAGGTGAGATAGAATTCGGGTGGAATACCATCTGGGCCTGGCGACCTGCCCTTACGCATGTCCATTACTGCTTTCTCAATTTCGTGGTGTGTGATGGGGGCATTCAGATTTTCAGAGTCGCTGACAGAAAGAGACTCCATTTGGATATTATTTAAAAAATCATCGCATTCAGATTGTACAAAGCCACTCTCCGAACTGTACAGCTCCTTGTAGAAAGAAACAAAGGTGGTGTTCACGCTCTTGGGATCGGTTAGAACAGTGCCATCGATAGATTTAACACTGAAAATATCAGCAAATAGTTCATTGGTCCGAAGCCTCAAGGCCAGCAGGTGGCTAGGTCTGGCGGAGTGGAAGTAGTAAGTCTGTCTGGTTCTGTGCATAAGAAATTCTGAACGGCGTCTGAGGAGAGAATTCATTTCTTTTTTTATCAGGTCTTTTTGGAGAGCAACAGAATCGCTGTAATGGTGTTGTAAGTTAGCATCGAGAGCAGCATACTTTAGTTCTAATGCTTCCAATTTAGCTGCACGTTCCTTGTTTCGGGTGGATGCGTACAGAGTGGTGTTGCTTCTAATAAAGCCCTTTGTTGCCTCCCACAAAAATCTCGGGTCAGACACTGACCCCTTGTTGAACCCCAAAAACTCACGGAGGTTAGTCTCAAACTGAGACTTGTATGTTTCGTCACGCAGCAGTGAGGAGTTAAAACGCCATCTGGGAGCTCTAGTGGGGACAGCCCTAAGTGTGACAGAACAGTAGATGGGTTTGTGATCAGTCCATGTAACTGGTATATAGAAAGCCTTCCGAACATTATGAAATAGATCTTTGGACGCAAAGAGAAAATCTATCCTAGAAAAGGATTTATGTCTACCTGAGAAAAAAGAGTAATCTTTTATGGAGGGATTCATCACACGCCAGATGTCTATCAATTTGTTTTTGTTTTTGTGTTTTTGTTACCTGCGTAACACATCAGAAGCGAGACGTTGGTCTCTACTCTCTGCCCCACCTGTTCTATCCATACTGCTATCCCATACTGCATTGAAATCTGCGCCCATAACCAGACGAAAGCCTGTGAGATCCCGTAGAGTTTTGGTTAATTGGTCATAAAAGCCAGCCTCAAAAGTGTTGGGAGCATAGGCAGAAATCAATGCTATATTCTGCCCGTCGAGACGAATCTTGGCAATGGCCAGTCTCCCCTCTTTGTCTGTCCAAGAGCCGATCAGATCAAATTTCAGCTTGCGCCTACAAACTATCATCACACCCTTGGTCTTCGTAGGAGCAGACGAAAAGACAATAGGGTGATAGAGCCTATTTGCAAAGCGGGCCGCATCCTTGATGAGTAAATGTGATTCCTGTATCATGGCAAAGTCAATATTTTCTTATGCAAAAATCCTAAAATAGTGGTTCTTTTATGTGGGATATTCAGTCCCCTGGCATTAATGGAAATTAAATTGAGATTAGTCATAAGTAGAGTAGTGTAAGAATACAATATAAAGTATAGTCACCTCAACAAGCAGGATATGGTGATCTGGATCCCAAAAAAAACCTTCCCCAAAAAAGAAAAAACATAAAACATAAACAAACTCAAAAACAACCCAAGAAAAGTGAGGAGATATGTCCCTCCTCGACATTCCTGATAAGTCCCTAACTGGACAAATAACTCAAATCTGGGAACTCTAACTGCCTAATGCCCCGGCCACACGAGGACGAAAACGGCCGTTTGCGTTACTGTTTAGTGTCATATAGACCATTCGGCCATACGAGGACGACCGAATACGGCACTAAACGACTGAGGAAACGATAACGGGTCCCAAGGTGGATAGAACGGCATACGCAACGCTCTGGGGGTCAAACGGCTCCGTGTGTGCGCCCTATACGAACATTTTCTGATAGTGATTGCGCAATAGCAATAGCCCCGCCTCTCCCCACCTCTTCTGCTCACCTCCGTTTACCCCGCGCCATTGCTGATGTGTTTCGCCACCAACAACAACAATGGCGGATCGCAGAGTTGCTATCGTGCTCCGGACGCTACTGACCATGCTACAGTTCTTTGTGCAACATCTACAGCAGACTTACACATCCGGGGGGGATCTTACTCGCTGCTTTTGTGGATATGTACTGCAGCTTCAGCGATCATTTTCTGATAATGATTGCGCAATAGCCCCGCCTCCCCCCACCTCTGCTGCTCACCCCCGCGTTAAAGTAAACTGCACACTGAATTCAGATTATTTATCTTTCTCTCGATATGGACATAAACGCGAGAGAAGTCTAATCTGACAGGACGGAGACACCTCTCAAACTACCTAAACTAGTTATAAATATGTTTAGTTTACTGTTGGCCGGGTCACTCATTACTGGATCAGCTGCTGCATGATGAATTGGAAATGGGGGACCCTGATGTAAACAAGACGAAAGTCTTTCTCTGGTCTGCATCCCCTTAACAATTATATGTTTTGAGCTGTACTGTACCCAATATACAAGCTGTTAATACACTTTTCAATCAATCAATCAAAACAGACACTGACGCTGTCCAAAGAGAGGGTGGAAAAAGAGAGGCTCCGTGTATTTTTATTATTATATTATATAGAGTCGTTATTCATTTGTTTTAAAGCTCAATATATAATACAGAAGACCTTTGACTGGCACTTTTATAATTTTGTCGGAAGGTTTAAACTTGAATACACGTTGACTGGCGAAAAACTCTGCCCGGTTCCCTCGGCCCCCACCGCGGAGAATAAACAGAAGGGCAACCATGACAACCATGCTTCTTCGCTGCTTTTGTGGAGGAAGTTACAGCTCCACGTACAGGCTCCTGCATATGTACTGCAGCTTCTCCAGCGGTTGGAGCTAAACGGAGCGGTCTCGTGTGGGCAGACACTATCCGGATAACTATTGCGTGTGGACGGAAGCTTGTTTGCGATTGCGTTTGCGTTAATCCTATGCGTTTAGCCGTTTTCGTCCTCGTGTGGCCGGGGTCTAAGAGGGGCAGCACCATCACCAACCATTAGATCAGGTGATATCTGTTAATTGCTAGACAATGATCTAACGAACTGCTGAGCAACACGTCAGCGTAGTGAGTCATCAGCACACATGCAAAAGATCCATCACAACATCAAATAATCAAGAGAAACATTTAAATGTGGCCAAGTAACGTAAGAGCATGTGAAATAAACGAAAGAGATACAACAAGATAATAGTTTGTACCACTTTGACATGGAATGTCGATATAAGCCCAGCCATACAGCCTGCCCAACACCCACACGCATACACTCGCACCAGCACTCTCCCACCAAGCCGATACATCAGCGTCCGTACACTCTTAACTCCATCCCGCGTATAGGCACAAACCCAGGCCGTGCGCGGCCACCACGCCAACCATACACCCGAGAGCACGGATGCGCAATTATGGCACTTTGAGCTTCCATACATAATAGACACCCACAAACCTATGCCACAAACACACCGCCAGCGCGACAACCACACACGGAGCCCACACATACAACAGGACAAATTATGCTTGGCTAGGAATAGGCTACAAGAGAAAGACTTACCGGTCTACATATGGCCAGTGCATAATAAAAATAATTAAACAAATAAATGTAGAAAGAAAAAGGCAGTCCAAAAACTATGGTCTCTACGTATACGCCCCGCGGGTCGGGGGTTCCATCCAGACAGACAGCGTAACTGAAACTTCACACTCCCCCCACCCCCAAAGCCCTTAGAATGTTATGCCAAACACCTACGAATTATTAAATAAAACCGGAGCTCAAAATGTCTTACCACAATAATGCAGTGTTCTTCAGGGGAGGGGAGGGCTAATAATCAGTTTACTAAGACACAGTCCGGTCCGTGATAACACTTATACGTTTATAAACTTCTGATGCACTGCATAGCCTTCTTCGGGTCGTCAAAGCGGTGCTTAGTCCCACCAGGTGCAGTGAAGGACAGCACAGCCGGGTATCCGATGCCAAACGGGATCTTAGCCGAGTGAAGTAGCCGTTACATTCCAAAAAGGAGCGTCGCCGATCTTGCGTTGCCTTTGAGAAATCCTGGTAGAAGCTTATTTTATGGGTCTTCCACCTGACATCTCCGATTTCCCTCGCGACGTTTCTCATGTGCTCCTTTTGCTGGAATCTCAGGAAACGCACCACGAAAGGTCTCGGTGGAGCCCCGGGCCTGATTGGCGCTAGAGACCTGTGAGCACGCTCCAAATCCAGGCCCCCAGGAAAATCCGTCTGAAGGATGTCCGGCAGCGCTGTCCTCAGGAAGGATAAAGCATCTTTCTCCTCAGAATGCTCCGGTAATCCATAGATGCGTAGATTCACCCGCATATCCCTATCCTCATATTCCACTAGCTTAGCATTCAGCGTTTCTACCTCCGAAGCCAGGGCTGGCGGAGAATTGCGGCGCCGGTCTTCTGTGTCTTCCAGCATATCCAGCCGGGCCTCAGCACTGGTAATTCGGGTAAGCACGTCAGCTAGCTTCTGCTCAACAGCAACAACGGCTCTCCGCGTTTCCGATAGCTCTTTCCGAAGGTCAGTAAAGTGCTTTGTTTGGTCCTCAGATAGCTTTTGAAGAAGCTCGAGAATCGCGGTGTTGGTAGGCTCAGTAGCAGCTGAGTTCAACACCGACATGTCCGGTGAGACATTCGCAGGCTTCGGGCTAGCATTAGCCTTGAGAACCAGGTGTTGTTGAGTTGCATTAACTACGGTTTTCGGAGTTTTTTTTACTATTCGGCATGTTTAATGTAACAGATGACTATTGGGACTAATAACTCGTGATTGAGATAAAAAAGTATCACTGATAGTGGGATATTTAAGCAAAAATAAATGGTGATGGCGCCGGAGCCACGAACTTAAGCAGCCATCTTCCTCGAGGTCCACTCCTCCCCGACCAGTTTGCAAATCTTTTGAATGCATTTGTGGAAGGTGTTTTACATTTACAAAACACACCATTTACACAAATTATTTTTATGTTCACACAAATATTATTGAGACAAATCTAACCCCATACTCAGAGCATCGAGATTTAAACTGAGTGAAGACTGGAGTTGAGGTTGCGTGCAGTTTTAATGAGTCAGATATGTTTTGTATTTGTTTCACGAGTGCTGACAGGGGATCTACTTCGGCTGAGAGCTGGTACTCACAGGAGGAATGGCTGCTGGGGAAGCTCTTGCGTCCCTCGGAGACTATATCGGGCTCACCGGTGCAAAGCATCTTCGCATTTATCTGTCCATCCGGGAAACAACGGTGGAAGTAATCGGGCCTGGGTCTGAAAGAAAATAAAACCCAAAAGATGGTTTGCGTGTCTTTGATGAAGATAATTCCTGTCAAACAATGTATTACTCATAAATCTAATAAGCGTATGCTGCAAAATGTATCATCAGTGACAGATCTTGTTTGTTTGTTAAGCATACCTTCCAACAATCAACTTGATAGTGTTTGTGAAGACTCCATTCAATGCGAGGGCCAGGGACACAGCTGGAATAAGCAGATTGACAGCCAAATAAGCGTTTTGGATTACACAGACAAGGTTGACACATTAGCAATGTGGTAGCATTCATAGAAACAGTGATGCTGTAGTAAAATGATTGATATGTTTTATCAGCTCTTCTGACAAAATGTTCAAATTAAACAGCCAATGAGGTTTACTGGAGTTCTTTCTTGCAGCTGGACAGATGGTTGTCAGGATTAATGTGGTTATAATTTCTATGCAGCAACAGTAGAAATAATGTTTTATCACAGTGCAAGCTTAAAAAACAAATATAAAACACAACTAAACCTTTACATACATAGAAATAGACAAATCTCTATTTTAATGCATGGACATTTCTCCCATAGATTGTTTAATTGAGAGAATAATGTAATCCCTTGTGCATCTCAATGAAACACATTGTATAACATTCATATGCAGATATCTGTTTTTAGAGGTTTATATTATAAATATAGACCATAGATTCAAAGAACACATGTTGGCCTATGTATTCTGCCTCTTTTGCTTTTCAGCGTCATTCAACTGAGCTCTGCTAGAATGTAATTGTTAGGGCTAATCTGATTTAAAACAAAACAAAACAGCAAAATCACGTCCCATTGCCTATAGATTATGCATCTATCTGCAGATTCCAATACGGTATACATTAAATCATTAACCTAAGCATTACAAAAAAGGAACTTTGCATGTTCAACCCTTTTTTCTTCTTCTTGACATTCCATGCAATACTTTTGAGACATTTTATTCAAAGCCATGGTGACAATGATATTAGTATCTAACCTACAGTATGGGCAACATGATTGTGTGGTGTGATGGCCACAGCCACACATGGTAAAGCAATAACACTGAACCCTAACCTCTACTAGTTTTACCTCATTTCAGATGAAGTCAACCACATCAATAATTAACAGCACACATTAGATTTAAATGGTAAACCCTTTATTTGATTTAAATCTGACATTATTTAGTATATTTGCCCACATTTTAGCATAGTTAACACAGGTATTTTTTGTATTTCTAACTATATTTGCGTTACCATGGTTGTTAGGGGAGGTTCCTTCCTGGTTCAGCAAAAGGCGTGGCTGAGGGCTGAGGACTCATAAGTAGTGCAAGCAGCCAATTGGGCCAAATTGGGACAAACCATGTACTTCAATGTCAGAGGGGGGATTTGGGTTTGTCAGTGTCAGTTTGTATTGTGTTTATCTTTATTACCCTTGTCTCTATTTGGTTTAGCCAATCCACTATATATGTTCCATTTTGCATCATTGTCTTCATACATTTTTGGGGTAAATAAAAAAAAAAACCCAGTTTAACTCCTGTTTCATGTTGACTCAGTGCTTGGTCCCAAATGAATGAGAAATGCTGCAAACTGTTTGGTTTCATGCTGGTAAGTATCAATCAGATATGTAATTATGAGAAAAGTGTCTCTACAATTGTGGTGGCAAAATGATTTCACCCACTTAGAGCCAATCTAACTGTTAAGCAATTACTGCCTCTGCTCAACTTTTGGTAATGAGAAACGGAAGGACTGCCTTTGGTTGTCATGTAGGCATTGCACTGTACATTCATTTAATTAGCTCTGAGCCAAGCCACTGGGGCTCATCATTAGCTGATACCTGCCCTCACAGGTTAATCCCAGTGGCCTGAGGTTCAATTGAATGCACCCCATGTCGCAAGAGCGCAAACCCATTATCCTGCTGAGCTGCAGGGGCAAACTCAATATTATTTAACAGCTTGTTAATTGGGGCAAACTCTGCAGATGAAATGAAAATGATCCAGTTGACCGGTTGAAAAATAGAACATTAACTTGCAATGAGTTCCCTTTGACAGATCGCTCTTGGTGTGAGGAGGCATTATTGTAATAAACTCCAGCTCATATAAAGTATAGCCTCTGAGCGTTTGCTTATTATGATCATTAAAGTATACATACATTTTGGATGGCCCAACAGCAACAGTAGCACTAACACAGCTTTAGCAGTTCAGTTTGTACTGCACTTATGCCTGTTTGTGACACTTATGACATCAAAAGAGCGTTAGCTAGAGTAGCACAGCTCATAAAGGAGACTTCCTCTGACCTTGTGGCATATTTTAGTAATGTATTATTGTGGTGAAAGGTATATTCTGCCTTGCACTGGTGGAATGGAACACAGTACATTTACTCATGTCCAATTCTGAGGTACTTGTATTTTCATTTTATGATTTATTATGATATATTTTATACTTCTACTCAAATACATTCTGGAGGCAATATTGTATGTTTACTCTACTACATCTATCTGACAGATTTACCTACTTTAGATTTAGTTTATTAACAGGCACAACATATTTATTTAGTAGAGAATAATAGATAATAATAGAGAAACACTGACATATCATTATAGATATACAGCAGGTAAGGTAATTAAAATACGCTCCACCATTACTAGCTGTGATAAACACATTAATACATCAAAATCCAACAATTAATGAATGATTCTGAATTGTACACATGACGAGTTCTCTTTAATGTTGGAACTTTTATGAAGACGTTTGCACTTTTTCTTGAGTAAGATTTAAAATGCATGACTTTTCTCACAAGCCTCACTCATTTTGAATGGTATAAGAAACTAATTATGTCACATTAACCCTACCACAGAGTTTGCATTATTGAATGCCATGGGCAGAGGTGGGAAGTAGTGGAGTACAAATACTTGTTACTGTACTTAATTAAATTGTTCTGGTATCAGTACTTTACTCCACTACTTACTGACAACTCTTTACTTGTACTTTTTTACGTTTTTAACATGAATACCTGTACTTTCTACCTCTTACATTTTCAAAACAGGTTTGTTACTTTAGTTTTAATCTGTGTTTCATTACATTTAAAAGAACACTTCCGAATGCTCAAAGCGCTTACATTACATATTACACATATCAGACATGTAACAGTGAATACAGCAAATTAGGGTGACGTGTCTTGCCCAAGGACACAAAGTTAACGGTACTTTTTACTCAAGTACATTTCGAAGCCTATACTTCTATACTTTTAATTGAGTGAAGAGGTTTAGTCAGTACTTCTACTTTTACCAGAGTATTTTAAAACACGAATATCTGTACTTCTACTTGAGTAAAGCCTTTGTGACCTCAAGACTGGACTATTGTAACGCTCTGTATGTGGGTATGGACGAGGCATCAATTAAACGCCTGCAGCTAGTCCAAAACGCAGCTGCATGTCTCCTGACTGGCCACAAAAAGCGTGACCACATCACCCCAATTCTGGCCTCACTACTGGCTTCCAGTTCGGTTCAGAATTGATTTTAAAATCCTTTTATTTGTTTTTAAAGCACTAAAAGCTACAGCTACAGCTACATATAGGCTCCGGCCTATACTGTAGCTGAACTCCTCCAGCGCTACACGCCAGGCAGAGCCTTAAGATCTGCTGACCAGGCTCTGGAACACTCTTCCCTTCCATGTGAGGTCGGCCCAGACCCTAGGGCTTTTAAATCCACACTGAAGACACACTACTTCTCTCTGGCCTTCTAGTTAGAGTGGGGTCACGACTCCTGACTGTTCCATGTGTTGTTTTTATCTGTTGTGATTTATTGTGATGTAATGTGTTTTTTATGTGTTTATATTACATGTACAGCACTTTGGCTCGACCAAAATCGTTTTTAAATGTGCTCTACAAATTTGATTTGATTTGTGTATACTTTTGCCATCTCTAAACAATCTCAGGAACTCAGTCACATTGAGTTAAGACAGCGTTTCTGCCACCCTACCAAAGTCCCTAATGTGTTAGCTCATATTTGATTGACAGCTAATCTGACCTGCTGTTGATGACTGGAATAAAATCTCTGTATGTCAAAACAAATGCCAGTAAAATAATTGGTCTAAATCTTCTCAGTAGTGTCCTGATTTTGATAAACATAATCAAATCTGTGTTTCAAGTTTTAACACATTATACTACATTTGCAGACACCACATACTCTTCTAGTATTGAAAGCATTCTTATTGTCTCACTGGGAGATAACTCCCTCTACACGCATTAAGAAATGCGGTGGTCGCTATGAAACTCCCTTCTAATTGATGAATAATATCCTTTATGCTGTTTGACCCGAATAAAAATAATCACTGCAGAATCATCTCTGCATCATTCTCAGCAGAATGTAGTCTTTCTTTGGAAAGTCTAATCAAACTTCCGAAAAGGTCCCATTGTTTCATGACTGATGGATAATCACACAATAAAGCTTCAGGAGTTTGGGAATCATAAAATGTTATTAGGCTACTCAAAATGGGTGCATTGTGTTCTTTGCACTCAACGGAACAATAAAGGATTTGGTGTTAAAGCAGAGTGCACTCCAGTTCACGCTTTAACTTACAACGACCCCTGATAGATCTCGCGAAAATGTGGAATCGGACCATATGGAGAAAGAACTCTGTGCTGTTAGAATCTGTGGAGGTTAAACCTATAAAACCTTTTGGAAGTGCTTCTCTGCAGGCTGTAATTGGGCTGTTACATAGCACCCTAATCTGATGCATAGTCACCATTTCTCCACCAGATGCATCTCTGTGTGACTCTTTAATTGGATTTGTGTTAATGTTATTTAATGCTCTCTGATGCGCCAAAGCCTCTGCAGGCCTGTCGACCCAGCGGGAAATGGAAACCGGAGAGAAAGAGAGTGAAATAAATGGCCAAATGCTCTGAGAATGAAACCAGCAAGACTTTGTATGAGTTTTAAATATAATGTCAATTCAGATGAACTTGTGTTTTGCCATAACGACTGTAACAGTATAACACAGTTGAAATATCTGCACCACTGAACACAATAAATGACTTTCAGGTGACCAATTAGCACACGCCCTCCAGGTAGAACAGGTTATTAAAAACTCCAATATTGCAACTGTAAAATAAGACCAACAACACATTTTTTACACTTCAACTAATATGCTCCACATACCAAAGCATGCCTCTTTCAGCTCTGTCCTGTCCGTCCTCTGAATGATCTTCACCACAAATATCACCGCCAATGGGGCAAGAAATGAAATAGCCTGGGGGGAAATAAAAAGGAAAAAAGTACCGTTATTGTGACATTAGAGACGTGCCGCAGCTCTCCACGGGGTCTGTTTTGCAGGTTAATGGTAAAATGGCTTCTGCCTCCGGGAATGACATGAACCTATCCATTATTCAGAGTTAATTTCTAACAAGGCAAATTGCAGGGCCAAACAAGCCTCTTTATTGCTCAGTGGGGTCTCAGAGAAGAATTTCGCCCTCCACTTGAGAAGAGATTTGGGCTTCCTCAGCACCTCTGTAATTATTCATGACTCAGAATAGATTAATTACATTTTGGCCACATTCAATATATGTTCTTTGCCTTAAGCAACAGAGGTAGTAAAACAAAGACGGGGTTTCTGTTCCATTATTAAAACACGCATTCTGAATTTCCCTGGAGTGCTGTTCATCAGTCCCTGCCAATTTTGAACTCATTTTGTTCCTCACTATCCTCTTTGAAGTGGCTAGATTCAAACTATAAATGGCACTTGGATCAAAGTGCAATAACAGTTACTATCTGTACTGTAAGTGGAAATAAAAATCAGCCAACATTTATTTGATGTGTTCTCACATATGCAGAGACTTAACTGCTGTTAACAAATTGGAATCACCACCATGTTATATTGATGCATTTCATCTTTACTTCAATAATGGCTATTTTAACATACAGAGTTATGTTAAACAGTAGGATCTAATGAAGACACAAAATATATCATGCCTCAGACAAGGAGATTTTGTTTTCAGTCCTGGTTGTTGGTTTGTTTGTCTGTTATTCAGAAGGATTAAAGAAAAACGACTAACTTGATTTTAATGAACCTTAAGCACGTACGAACAACAAACCCATTACATATTTTCAATTAATCTGAAACAGGTGGCGGATACACGCAATCATTTTCCATTTTGTAAAAGACCTTAGAATGCCCTTCTATCTCATATTTGAGATCATTTTCCCCAAAAAGAAGAACCTTTGAATTATTAAAACTTTCATTTAGTTGATTTCCCTACAGTGTTGCATGACAGTGACAAATATTGATGTAACTATTTATTCCCCTACACACCTTTCAATTTAGTTTTCTATTCTCCAACAGTGCAATTGGGGATACAATATATTGGGAAGCTGTTTTGTTTTGCTCCTCTGCAGTCTGATCAGTGGTTATATTGAATAGGTCAACAAGGAATGAAATCAGAAATCCAATTTATTCGTCCAACAAAAGGAAATTTACATGCTAAATCATAAATAAAGGCTAAGATATCTTTTCAAATTCCTTGTGTTCCATAGATGATCAAATCAAACAGCAACACATACTTTAGCCCTCTTTTAACAGTTTGCACTTACACATACAGTAGATGCCTTTTGACAGTGGTGGCACGTTACACAACCACTATGGCCAAAATACCAGGAGGTATTTATTTTATGTTTTTAGCAGTCCCTGCTCTGGGGAACCCTAGATCTTTTTCTGAATTGTAAGAACTTTAGCTGTTATTTCCTGATCCATTCTCAAAGTGCTAACTCTAACCTCAGTGTTTCCCCTATATACAAATAACGGCGGCGCTATATTTTGTATTTTTGTTTTTAAATTAAAATAATAATAAGTGGCGACCCTTTTTGATTGTTTGTTATGTGGATTTGTAGTATTTGTGTGACTGTATGTTCAATAAAGGTGTATTTTGCTAAATCTTGAGACATTGCCATATGTACTAGGCCTCAAGAGCCTTTCTTGTGCTGGCAGACATATAGAAACATATTGGCGGGGCGCACTTCGCACACGCTCACATTAAAAGATTCCACACGCTCCACGCTCACATTTAGCTGGGCCTTAGCCGGTGCCTTAGCACCGCTGCTATGACTCCATCCTAGGGGAAAAACTGAACCTATACAACACTTTGTTGAACTGCACCAGTTCTTTGCAATGGCTAGGCACACAACTAGGCATCTACTCTTATTCTATTTAGATGCCCTAGATTTATCTTTAATTTGTATTGTGAAGTTTGAGACACAGCTTTGCTAATGCTTCTAATTGAAGCCTTTTAGAGGAATGATTGTGCACTTGACACTGAAACCTGTATCTATTTAAATCTGCAAACATTTTGATGTTATGCTTCCAGTTTCTTTAACAAAGGATTTCTGATCTCTTGTATTCTTTTAATTGTTGCTCAGAGCTATCGTTATCTCTTTCTGCCCCTCTGGTTGAAATAATTTCTACAACTTAAAAGCATAAAACACCATTCAATTGGCAGGCAACCTTTTGAATGTCATTGTATGTCAAAATGTAACTTCAGATTTTGACTGATGTCCTACTTCACATTCTGTAGTTGGGACCACATAGTGCTAAAACTTGGAGTTACCATGAGTGTAAAACCATACAAGGTGTTCTATAATAGACAGTATCACATAATATTCAGTGGGACACATTGTGGTTGCCCCTGCAGATTGAAACTATTTTAACAATGGCTTGCAAAAATGAGGCATTTACTGTATCAAATCAAATCAAATCAAGTTTTATTTATATAGCACATTTATAAACGATTTTTGGTCGAGCCAAAGTGCTGTACATAAAATAAAAATAGCCTACAGTAGAGACACTTTACAGCAAATACAACAGCACAGATTGTTCAGAATATCAGAATAAAAAAAACGACACCCTCTATCCTTAGACCCTCACATCGTACAAGGAAAAACTTCCAGAGAAAACCCACAGTTTAAGGGGGAAAATGGGAGAAACCTCAGGGAGAGCAACAGAGGAGGGATCCCTCTCCCAGGACGGACAGACGTGCAATAGATGCCGTGTGTAAATCGAAGAGATAATACATTTTACAGCATATAGACCGAATGTTAGGAAATGCATGTGTCTGTAATAAGAAGATGAATCCACGAGGATGTCAGCTACAATCCTGTGGAAGCCATCAGGGAAGCAGCATGACGAGACCCAAGGCAGGACCGCAGAGACAGGTTCAGCCACGACCCGAAGTCCACGACTTAATCCAGAACTCAGGATAGAGGATCCAAGACACAGGACTACAGCAAGAGGATCAGCCTCGACTCCGGTTCCCGGCGTAGATATAGATACAAAACAAGAAAAAAGATTTGGCTGGGTTAATCGGAACAAGAGAATACACAGACACAGACAGAGAGGGAAAAGTTATTCTTGATAACCCTCTAGAAAGATCTCATGAACTTCCCCACTCAATCTATCAAGACCCGAGCAGTTCTATTAGATATAGGATAAGAAACAGAGATAGGGAGCACAACAACCTATCTCTTCGTCAGATGCACTCCCCCGCTTATCTAAGCGACTCTGTACCCCGTTACCCTCTACAAGGCCAAAGACCAGCAGAGGGAAAATGGGGGGTATGTAAGGATTTTTAAGAATAAACCGCAAGTAATCCTATCTACTATTCCTATATTTGAATAATGTATAAACTATTTTAAAAATACTTTATGAAATCCTATGTTATGTATACTGCACAGTGATTAGAATGAGCTTGTATGGTCACGCTTCATAATCCTTGTTCACATCTTAAAAAAAGACAGACACCCACAGATTTAGATACTGGAAATATTTACTCGTAAATGGATTGAAGCAACTAAGCTGTGGTGACTCAGCAGCTGGTGGCATCCGTCATGTTTGCCAGAAGTGCACCCTGAGTCTGAGTGGCCTTTCAGTCACAGCGGCTGCCATCACTTTGTCACTGTGAGGGAATCCACTGAAGTCTCTGCTGACTTAGAATATGCCCGCTGAAACGGCCATTTTTAGATTTACTCTTTTGCAGTACTTTATTTACAGAAGCTCTTCATAACCTACAATTAAACATTGGCACCCCTGGGAGTATAAACCACTGATCAAAGATGTTTAGAGTCATGATGAAAGGAGGATTTGTGAAGGTTTGAGTTGCTTAAAGGTTTGACAACTTAAATTATATTGTCTCTTAAATATACTTAAAATTAACATTCACGTCTATTAAAGAGATATATTTAGCACATCATTTTTATTAATGTTCATCATCATTTTTTCACATTTATAGAAATCCTTTTTATAAATCTGAAAAAAAGTGTAACTTAAAGAGGCCCTTTTTGTTTTCACTTTCCTTAGTGTGTTATATAGGTTTCAGTGCATGTAAATGGTCTGCAAAGGCTCAAATTCTACAGTTCCCTACAGAGGGAGTTTCTCTCCCAGACAGCCCCCCGCCTTAAACGCCTCCATTGGACTCCTTTCTTTACTTGTGCGACATGGTGACATCACTATGTAAAACGTTCCTATTGGCTAGCACTCCAACACATTGTACGTGATAGGCTAACTATGAACCTGGAAATTAGCATTATAGGGCCCCTTTAAATGTAGGGCTGTAACAAATTGTTTGACATTTGATTCATAACCTTGACATTTAAATGATAAATCAAAATTAGAATGCTGTGCAGCCTGCATGTTTATCCATTGTGGTATTTTTGCACAGTTGCAGATAAAGACTAGAGAGTGCAATTCCTGAAGAAATTGCTAGTGGGAATGCTTTATGCTGAAAAGCTGACGCTAAACTGTTATGCTGAAATGTAATGTGTAAGAAGAAAGTGAAGAATTTAGATTGAAATGATACATGAACACAGGGGGCTTGAATGTGTGATGAGAGAAGAAAAGAAAGTAAAAAGGCTTGGAAAAGCATCAGAATATTTGAAATGCAAACCTTTGAACTAACTTGATGGCGAATTATCTGTCGCTATGGCAACGGCATTTTATGACACCCCATAATACGCTTAGATGCGTTGATGGCTGCATCGTTACCAAACCTGTGAAGTTTTGGGCTGTTTGGAGTATTTTCACTGAAGTTATGAGAAAACCGTGTTTCAAGGCGAGCATTTTGTTGCCATGGTAACGGCATTTGAAGAAATCTCAAAACTGTCCCGTAGATGTCTTCAAGGCTGGACTGTTAGCACACATGTGAAGTTTGAGCACTTTTTGAACATTTTCATATCATGTTTTATGGCGAGGGATGCGTTTCCATGGAA